TTCTGGGTTTCGCACATGAGTACAGGGGCCCAAGTATTTGAGCCATCCTCCAATCCTCCATTGCTTTCCCAGGCACATTAGTAGGGAGGTAGGATGTTAGTGGAGCAGCTGGGACTTGAACTGGCACCCACATGGGATGCTGGCACGACAGATGGCAGCATTACCTACTATGCTACAGTGCCAGACCCAAGAGCCCAGAAATTAATCCACATAGAAACAGACTCTTGACAAATGTTCTCAGCCCACACAGTGGAGTAACAATAATCTCTTCAACAAATGGTGCTGGCAAAACTGGATGTATATATGTAGAAGAATGGAATTGGATCCATACCTCTCACCATATACAAAATTCAACTCAAGATAGATCAAATACCTAAATTTAAGACCTGAGACTATGAAGTTGCTGGAAGAAAATGTAGGGGAAACAATCCAAGACACTGGTGTAAGGAACAACTTTTTGAAAAAAAAAAAAAGAAAAGAAAAAAAAAAGCACAGGCAATAAAGGAAAACTAAACAAATAGTACTATATGTAACTCAGAAGTATTTGCACAGCAAAGAAAACAAAAAAGGAGTTGAGACATCTAATAGAATTGGAAAGATATTTACAATTACCTGACAAAGGATTAATATCCCTAATATACCTGCAACTTAAAAAACTCAACAATAAAAAAATCAACTATTCCAGTAGAGAAATAGGTAATGATTTCAATAGTAATTGCTCAAAAGAAGAAATACAAATGGCCAATAAATATATGAAAAAAAAAATGCTCAACATCACTAGCCATTAGGGAAATACAAATCAAAAACCACAGTGAGATATCACCTCACCCCTGTCAATATGGCCAAAATCCAAAACACAGAGAATAACCAATGCTGACAAGGATATAGACAAAGGGGAACTCTTACACACTGTTATTGGAAATGTAAATTAGTGTAGGCATTATGGAAAACAGTGTGGAGATTTCTTAAAAAGTAGAAATGTACTTGCCATTTGATCCAGTATTCCCCCTACTGGGTTTATATCCTAAAGTCCTGAACACAATGTATCCAAGAAATACTTGCACCACCATGGTTATAGAAGTGTTTCTAACAGCCAAAATTTGGAATCAACCACGGTGTCCATCATCAGATGAATGGATGAAGAAAATGTGGTGTATATGCACAATGGAATGTAATTCAACTACAAAAAAAAAGAAATTCTACTATTTGCCACAAAATATATACAACTGAAGGACACCATGTTGAGTGTAATAAGCTGGACCCAGCAAAAAAACTAATACCACATGTTCTCCCTTATATGGGAGAAAAACAAAGAAACAAAGAAAGAAAAGGGAAAAAAGAAACAAAAAAGAAAGGAAAATAAGCAGAAATATATGTGAATATCAGTATTGCTGCAAATAGTTTGGTAAAATTTTGTTTCATAACTGTCAAACCAGTGGTTAAGAATGTTATAGTCCTACAGTTTTAATGATCTGTGACTACTTAAAATTTACTGTTTATGGGTGAAATAATCAGTTTTTCCATTCAATTACTGTTTATAGCCATTGTCTGAATTCACACTAAGATAGGGTCTTTTTTGATTTTTACTCCTTAAACTTCTTATTTGATGAAATGTTGAGCTTTTTACTATAATGTAGTCTTAAAATATGTTATCTCAAAAACTAAAAAAAGAAAAAAAAAGATGGAAAGGAAGATGCAAAATCACATTTAATCTGTTAAAAACTAAAGATTAAGATAAAAGAAAAATCTGAAAAATAATCCCTATTTCTTTTTCTTCCTCAACTCAAAATGTGTTCTAGTTGTGAATATAATATGGATGGTTAGTGAGGATCCACATACTTGTGAGCTCCTTAATTGTATTTTTAAAGAAAAGATGAAAGAATGAAGAAAATCATGACAAATAGACTGAAGGATTGGAGAATACATAGCTAGCACCTGTGTTCAAATTTATGCAGCTTTGTGATTGTCCACATATCCAGGTCCATTAGAAGGATGAGTTTCTGGTCTGGTTAATTGGGTAGTTTACTCAATGCAATGCAAATTATTGAGAGGAGGATCATTCACAGAATATATTTATATTTATTATTAGAAAAGTTGTGCTTGAGTCAACAGGAAACTTACAAGCTCTTCTGAAGGAGGAGCTTAATTCACTGGTTCTCAGCTTGGAAGATGTAGACTTGGGTTTTCTTGAGTTTGGGGATAAGTTCAAGAAAGCAAGGAGCATGATCTCATGGAATGGACATGTCGATAGATAGAGAGGAATATTCTTCACAATGATCAGGGCAAATGCATGTAGCAATGGGAACCTTTTTATGCCAAGAGCCATCTGAATATTTACAACATAATGTCCTAGTAATTATCAACTTAAATTTAACCTGCTATACATTCACTAAATTTTGAGTCCTTTCTGCAATTGCCTCGCAAAGCCAAAACAAATGATTTCATAGGCATTATATGGCCTCTAGGCTAGATGTTTCCCACCTAAAGACGGATATGATAGGAAGAATGTGTAAAATAAAAAATACTTTGCATTAATTACCAGTATAATAGGAATAATTTTCAAGAAATCATGAGAAAAGCTATTGAAGTGTAGAGAATATGTGTCAGGTAGAGATACTGCTGAAACATTAAGAAAAATTATTCTTTGGCTTTGAACTTGAAAGAATCCCAGAGATTTTGTGTTGGGGTTCCAGTAGAGGCCTGATAAAATGCAGCTGGGTTGCAAAGACTAAGTAGTGATGGATAAAGAGGAAGCAACAACAGAAGTTAGATCACTTTTCTAATAAATATGTCTGTGAAAGCAAGAGAGTTAACAGAATAAGTAGAAAATAACAGAATTGCAACAACAACAACAAAATGTGTGTGGATGGGTGGTGGTTGGGATGGGATGTTTGAGGTTTAATAAAGGTTAACCAAAATAATAATCTAAGTTTATAACTGTACATTAATAACATTATAACATAACATTGTGAAAAAATAAGATATTTGTCACTAATTTACTAGTAAATATATACATATATATCATTTCTCTGTGATTTTTAAGTGAAAGCCAATTCTTATATGAATAATTTGAAATTATTATTTTAAAAAGCATTTATTTAGTTATTTAGTTATTTGGAAGGCAGAAGGAGAGAAAGAGAGGCAGAGAGAGTCCCCATCCACTGATTCATTTCCAAGATGCCTGCACTAGCATAGGCTGAGGTGAGGTCAGAGCAGGGAGCTGAGAACTCTATCCACATCCCTCACCTTGGTAGCAGGAATCCTCCCAGGGTGTGCATTACCAGAAGATGGCCTCAGGGACTACAGCAGGAGACCAGTCACAAGAACTCTGCTGTGGAATGCAGGCATCTTAACCACTAGGCTAAATGCCAATCCCTATTTTGAAAATTCTTCACAATTCTAGTAAAGAGGAATTCCTATTTAATCACAACAGTTACATCTTGAAAAGTCACATCATCGTATATTTATTGATATTCTTTAATAGTATTTTCCAGTGTAGGATGTGTACTTTTATGCATGTGCCCTTGATATATTTATAAATTAACTTGCCTTTTGAATATGGGAAATATATCCTATCACCTTGACTTCAGTGTCCTGAGTACTAATTTTGCACATACACAGCCACAGAATGCAAGCATGAAATATGCCCCTTTTCCCATCTAAAGTCAGAGAATGAAGGACTCAAACATCCTCTGAATCAGGCAGGTATGCAGGTATTCTTTTCCTTTGCAAGTACATTCTTTCTTAGTAAATACCAATTACTGTGATTTTATGGAAAAATCCTAATGTCTTTAAGGAAATATAAAATGCTTTGAAAAGTCATGTTTATGAAAAACAAAATGTTGATACAGACACATTTAAACATTTATAAAAATATTATAAAAATATTGTGATCCATGCCACTTAGTGTTTTTTTTTAACTCAAGAAACCACTAAACCAAATTTTGTGGAAATTATTACATTTTGTTTATCTATTTTTCCTCCACCTTATTAGGAAGTATTTTTTTTTTCATTTTTCCCCAGTATTTTTGGCATCTTCCACATTCTCTCCAGAAAGATCTAGAAATTCACCCAAGCCTACTGATTAAGGATAGGATGTGAGACCCTGTCTTGAGAACAGAAATATTACCTGCCCACTGAAAACTAAGCAAATAAGCTGAGTACCATGTCTTCATGCTCCAAAGAACAGTATGGAGGAGTCACAGCAGTGTTCCCTGAACTGCTCTCATGGGCTAAAAAACAAAAAGCATTGGTACCTCTGTTCTCTCAGCAAGGCATTGTTTGTGTTTTTTGTTTGTTTGTTTGCTTGCTTGCTTGCTTGCTTTTTGCCCCTGTAGGAGGAACACTCTTGATCTACATGGAGTTGTTCAGACACTGGTGACCTCAAGGAAATATGTTAAAATTTAAAAATACAACATTAGCTTTTACTGGTAAGTATCTGAGATTTGGCAAAACCCAAGCTGGTTCTTTGATCCTTAGCACTTGATCTCAAGATACTATCGCTGATGTCTTTGGAAATGTCAGGAAAGGAACCTGCACTCACTGCCCAAGACTGAGTCACAGCAGAGCTAAATCACGTAGGACTCAGAGGAGCAAAGCGGAAGGACAATAGACTTATTCAAATAAACTTACTAGGACGTCTTCTCTTCATTCATCACTCTACGTTCACCTTTGCTGCACTGCAACATGCCCTCCAAACAATAACCAGTGATGCTTTAAAGGCATGTGGGTGAGTTCTATCAGCCACCTACTCCGGGATGTGCAGGAGGCTCCAGGTTCCCGGCTCCCATATCTGATTGTGTCTGCTGCCACTGTCTCTTGTTCAGATTGACTTCTAGGATGATTTCAAATATCACACACACTCCTCCTCAATCCCTTTCTCCAGCTGATTCTCCTGCCTGGGACAATATTTTTTTCTAAAAAGTTTCATTCTCCTTGAAACCAGCCTAACTTCACTACGTAACATCACAGTGCTACATCTCAAGCTTAGTCTCCCTTACCTGCTTAACCTTTTCACAGCCTTAATCACTCTCCAATTTACGATGCAAAGTGGTCATTTTAGTCCTGTTTATTGCATGTCTCTTCACACTAGACTGCGAACAACATTAGGCATATTTGATTGCTTTGTTCAATTTTTAAATATTTTACTCATATAAAAGAACAGATTTAATGTATTACATAGATAAAATTCTAAGAACATTAACTATACTTTCCTCTCTTCCATCTCTCATTCTACTTCTTTTTGTAACTTTAATAACATAATTTCAATTAACTTTTTTTAAAGATTTTATTTGAAAAGTAGAGTTATAGACAGAGAGAGAGAGAGAGAGAGAGAGAGAGAGAGAGAGGGAGGGAGAAACAGGAAGAAAGGTCTTTCACTCTCTGGTTCATTCTCCTCCATTGGCCTCAACAGCCAGAGCCAGGCAAGTCTGAAGCTAGGAACCAGTAGCATCTTTCAGGTCTCCCGCTGCGGGGTGCCAGGGCCCAAGCCCTTGGGCAATCTTATACTGCTTTCCCAGGCCAAGCAAAGAGCTGGATTGGAAGAGGAGCAGTCAATACACGAACCGGCCCCCATATGGGATGCTGGAGCCAAGCGGAGGCTTAGCCCACTATTCCACGATGCCAGCCCCTAGATTAACCTTATAATCACAGGTTTAATACCCCACTAACCATCATATCTAACAAGTAGAAAGTAGAAAGACCACTGCTCCACAGTTATACAGACAAGGGCTATCAATAATAATCGTATCATAAGATGTCAGTTTCATTCATACACATTGGTTTTCTTATGTATTCTGTATTAACCAGCACATATCACGGAAAACATGATATTTGTCTTTTGGGGACTGACTTATCTCACCAAGCATAATGCTCTCCAGTTGCTTTGTTCAATTTTATAACACAGTGCTTACTAAACAGTCTGGCATGTAGTGAACACTTAATAAATATTTGATAAATGTATGACTAACTACAAAAATCAGACCATAATACTTTCCTCATAATGACATTTTCAAAATTAGCTATACAGGCTTGTTTGACACAGCACTGGACACAACTGTGATGATGGCTGTTATGGCACTGTTGTCAAAGCCATTGTCATGAATGAAGGACTCATAAGGAGTGTTTGGGAAGATAAACTTGGCAAGCTGTCAACTAATCACACACATGCACACACACACAATTTTGCAGACACACACACACTTCACACACTCACTCATGAAATCTCTGAGAAGCATGTGGAAACTTCATTTTAAAGTGAAATGACTCCTTCTGGTCTTTTGCCAGGCCTGAGTAAACAGTAGATCACCTTGTGATTAACAACTTGTGAAGTGGAAACTCTGAAAAAGACATCAGGCAGAATGTCACATTAGGAAGCAGTGCTGTGAGCAGAATCAAAGTCCAGAGCAGTGACTGTAGCTGGAAATCAAAGGATGATCAGAAAGATTTCATGATGAACACCTGTCCTCCAAGCACACATACACACACACACACACACACACACAGAGGCAGGGGGAGGGAGGGAGGGGAAGAGAGAGAGAGATCAGCATAAGACCTTTTTTATATATCTAGAGGAAAATACCTTCCACAAAAGCTATGCTCTTTTTTTGTAAGAAACTTTTTTTTTTTTTTTTTTTGCTTTACCAGTTATTTTTTCCCCAGCATGTAGTTGTTATACCTCTTTCCATTTACTGGTCAGCCCATTAGACAATTCCAAATTTTTTTTCTCACTTGTGATGGTCATTATTGATGTACCTTGACGCTCATAAAGTATATCTGAACAGCAAGAGAAAGTATGATTAAATCACAGTAGCAATCACCATGCCTTCACAGTTAAGATTTCAACTACTTAAGCATTCAATCTAATCTAATAAGATTAATTTTACTTTCACTTTAGTGCAGACAATCCATTAATGACAGGGAAGGAAGTTTTCATTTGGCTAATTACTTGAATGAGGGTCATCCATATCTATCATCGGAACCAGACAACTGAAGCTGCTGAGTCATGAAAATGAATGAATTCTGTGTGTGTGTGCATGTGAATCAGCTTGAAAGGGTGGGGCAAGCGCTGGGGTACAGCACCATGCAGGGAATTATAGATTATGCTAGGGCAGTAGCCCATTCTCATATACGGAAAACACTTATGTTTCAAATGTGTAATGTTTTGTCAGTGCTGCCTAATTCTGTTTATTTTTTCTAAAATTGAAAGGTAAATTAACCAGAGTTTCCTTCTTACACAATGACTTTTCTGACCATAGACATTATTTTCACAATTATTCTTTTAACAATTTTTGTGACATTTAAAATCTTTAAGTTTCTTCTGACTGAACTAAATAAGAAATCGCAGTCACTTATTATAGTTTAAGTCCAAATATTTTACATGGATTCCTTTAAATGTAATCTGTTTGCTCTTAGTGAGAGATGAATGATTAATAAGGACCTAAATTAACTAACAATGTGAAGCTGGAGTGTTTTAGGGAAATTCTACAATTCAATAAATTAGTTTTTATAATGAGGTCCTTTTTTAAAAGTGTGCAAAAAAGTGTCCCAAAATTTTAAAAAATCAGCTTTAAAACAGATTTTTTGCACATGAAACAAAAACTTACTATATGTGATTATTATTTTGTTTTTTCTATATAGCACTTTTGACAATAATACATGAAGATAAGAGGACACTTTGGCCTTTTAAGAAATCTATTTATTGAAATAGAAGTATAAACTTTCCTTGCTGAAATGTTCCATAAAACTTATAAAACAATACATCTTTTTTATTAGTCACTATTTTCCAGGATTTTGAAACAAATGCTCTCTTGTCTGATACATAACAAAATATTTTCTGATTACATTTTCCCTCCCTTTGCAAAGTTCCACTATTCAACATGTTTCAACAAAGCAATTTTAATTATTTTTCAGCTGTCTTTAAAATTGTAGAATCATTTCATGATGCCTATCAAAGAAAGCATAATTTTCTCAGCTGGAACTTGAAATATCTATAATGTCTAACATCTGTTAAATAGCAGGATTGTCTAGTTGGATAACTACAGTCCGTTGGGAAGATGTAGAAGCTGAGGTAGAAGCTGAACTAAATCCAGAATGTCATCATAACTAAGTGCTGGACTTTCAAAAGTGATGTGAATCTCCGCTAACCTCACGGAAGGAGGTAAAGTAGGTCTTGATCTGTACCAATGACATTTTAAATGGTGTATTATTTAAGAGAAGGATGGGGAAGGCACAGCTAACAGATGTCACCAAACATGATAAAGCAAAAGCATAATTTAATGAAAACAATTTTTCAATTCATTTGAAAGGTAATGAGACAAAGGGGAGATAAAAGGAGAGAGAATCAAAAAGTAAATTATTTTTAAATAAAACAATGACTATTCAGGTAAATAAATTTTACTTCCTCATATGCAGATTCAGAGCCTACCTAAATTTTATGACCCTTGTGATGAGAATTATGTACTTAGGTTATTTGGGGTACAGGAATATTGCTTATAATTGAGATGCTACTTGAGAATCCTGAATCCTATATTGGAGTATTTAGGATTGGGTCCTGGATTCTTGTCAGATTCCAGCTTCCCTATCATGCATACCTGTGAGGTTATGGCTAAAGAAGCTGGGTTGTTAGTACCCACGACAGAGACTGAGATCTAGTTCCATGCTCCTGACTTCAGCTTCGCCCAGCTCTGCCAGTTGTGGCATTCAGAAAGTGAACTGGTGGATGAAAGATTTTTGTCTGCCAACACCTCTGTCTCTCTCCCTCCTTTTATCTCTCTCTAATAAAATGAAATAATTATTAAATAAAATTTTAAAAATAATTTATCAGAAGCCCAGCGTCATAGTTTTCATTCCTTCTGAGAAAAACTTAGGAAATTTAACGAAAAACAATACACAATGCTTGAATTGAGTAAAGTCTTCACTGTAGTCTTTATTATCAAAGATACTATATGTGGAGCTAAAGGAGTTGCCAGAATGAGTATGTTTTTTTGTTTTTGTTTTTGTTTTTGTTTTTGCTTAATTAATTCTGTTAATCTGAAGAGAAGAGAGGAGCAAAAAGTACTTTTCCACCTAGGTAAATAATGATTTCTGGATTGACTCCATGTTAGAAATAGATACTTTGCAAAATAAAGGACAGAAAATAATTCCCTTGCAGCAAGGATTTTAACTCTTGGATTCCCAACCTACATATTGGCATGTACCAAACAGGTAATAGAAATTGTTTTAAGAAAATTTCATTGCCAAATCATAATCACACCTTCTCTACTTCATTAAACTAAAATAACATCATATAGACATGCTGTACATGATACAGAATATTATAACTTAATTTGAAATTGAAAAATCATGGAAAAGATAAATATTCAATTACATTTTTAAACATTTTGTAATGCTTTCATTAGTAATAGAAAATGTGATCCATTTTCATCAATTCTGATGCTTAAAGTTAGATCCTATATTTCTGTGTTGCACAAATTTTCAGTTTGAATCTTTTATCTGGTGATAACATGTTTTTAATTAAGACTCATAACTTAAAATATCTTATGTAATAAAGTTATTTGAGGACTTGGAACGAATCTCTGCAAAACAGTGTTTTTCCTTTTTGAAGTTATTCATAGAATCTTGGCAATTCAGTTCTATCAAACACAGTTGAAAGAATCTTTTTTAATCTTACCCAACAAAATACAATTATAATTTTTATTAGCTTCATCAATATCTACTGAGAAATACAGTTTAATCAATGTTATTTTTGTTATTACATAAATATATATTGAAATACAAATTTAATCTCTGAACTTAAAAAAAATGAAGTCTCAGTGAGTTATCACTTGTAATACTGTATCCCATGTTGGAGTGCTGATTTCTATCCCATATTCTCCACTTCCGATCCAGCTTCCTACTAATGCACCTGGGAAGGCAGCAGAAGGTAGCTCAAGAGCTAGGGCCCCAGCCACCCATGTGTGAAACCAGGATTGAGTTTCTGGATTCTGGCTTTGATCTGGCCCAGATGTATCTATTGAGGCCATTTGGCAATGAACCAGATGATATAAGATCTCTCCCTTTTTCCCTGTCTCTCCCTATCTCTGTGTCACTCTTGTTCACAAATTAATAAATAAATACAAAACTCTAAACAATAAAAAAACATTTTAGGCACTGAAAATACTGTATAAATAAGGAAAAGTCCTGCTCTCATAGAACTTAAAGTTCTAATGAAAAACAAAAATTAGAAATGTTGAAGGACAAAGGAAGGCCTTTTTAAAATATTTAATAAATATAAATTTTAAAAGTACAACTTTTGGATTATAGCAGTTTTTCTCCCCATAACCTCCCTCCCATGCACAAACCATCCCTTCTCCTACTCCCTCTCCCATCCCGTTCTTCATTAAGATTCATTTTCAATTATCTTTATATACAGAAGATCAACTTAGTATATACTAAGTAAGATTTCAACAGACTGCACCCACACAGACACACAAAGTATAATGTACTCTTTGAGTGGTAGTCTTACCATTAATTCACATAGTACAACACATGGGGAGTAAGTGCACAGTGACTCCTGTTGTTGATTTAACAATTGACACTCTTGTTTATGACATCAGTGACCACCGGAGGTTCTTGTCATGACCTGCCAAGGCTATGGAGGCCTCTTGAGTTCACAAACTCCGACATTATTTAAACAAGGCAATCATCAAAGTGGAAGTTCTCTCCTCCCTTCAGAGAAAGGTACCTCCTTCTTGGATGGCCCGTCCTAGGAAGGCCTTTTTAAGGAGGTAACATTCAGGTCGATGCTTGAATGACAAGAAAGAGGTGAGTGAACAGTTAGTTAAGTAAATATCCAAGCTGAGGAAACACTGGATATTGTATGCCTTTCTGCCAGAAAAATAATAATAACAATAATCAAAAAATCAAACTTGGGGCAAATGTTTCATGAGCAGTTAAGAGCTGAGTTGGGATGTCTTCATCTTGTATGGAAGAGCTTGGCTCTCAGTGCTGACTCCACTCTTACTATATCAGCTTTCTGCTAATGTGCACCCTCTAAGGCAGCAGCTGATCTCTTAACATAGTTCCATCTCTACTCCCCATTTGGGACTCTTGGATTGAATTCCCAGATCGTGGTTTAATCTGGCCAGCCTGGGCTGTTGCAGATATCTGGGAAGTGAACAAGTAGGTGGGAGAACTCCCTCTCTTTCCAATAAACAGCATAGTACTAAAAAATTGTTACAAAATCAGAACTACACAATGAGTTTCTCAGTTTACATGAACACCTGGAAAGAGTGAGTCACAGCAGAGAAACATGGAAAGCAGTCTCAAAGGCTGTAATTTCAAGCCTAAAGGTCAGTCCACTTTTTCCTGATGAATCATAGTGTTATTCACCTTTGAACAATTTCATTATGGAAAAACATTAGGAGAAAATCCTCAAAATGCTGCATGAGACATCTGACACAAACATACAATAATTTCCCCTATACTGTGGAACAGATGGAAAGATAGGTTATTGCCAGTTTCTTAAGAAATTTGTGTGAAGGTCACATCACATTCCCTAGAAGATGCTTCATAGATACCTTTTTACAAAATCAGACCTTGAAATTCCTCTCATTTGGGAACCCAATTTGCTTATAGTTGATTCACGTGTCTCCATATATGGGTTCTATCTATTTAAGCATAGGTAAAATGAAATTATTGATTCATAATTTGTCTGGAGAAACCAATATAATATAATAGAATTTCTGCTCACTTGCTGAAAGTCATCCAGCATTTCCGACATATGTGTGTCAATAATTACTTACCAGGTTCTGCCTGTTTAGTCAAATGAAGTATCAAA